TTCATGGCACAGAGTCATAGAAAAGAATTACAAATAATTAGTTTGGATAAAGTGGAGGTTGCCTTGTTTCCTAGGCAGAGAGCCTTTAATTGGGAACTTTATTTTTATTGAATATTTAATGAGCAACTGGTAAATGTTTCCCTAAGCACAATTTTCAGGAGCATTTACTGGTTTTTGAGCAGTTTATAATGAATTTAGACAAAAATGGAGCTGTTCAAACACGATGCCGTTGCAGCGTGGTGTGAAGTATTTACCAAAGATTATTGCAGAACTTATTTAATGTGCATAGATAGTTCAAAAAAAAAGAACCAACCCCAAACTAAACAGGCTTGAGGTTTCCTTGTGGGATTTTTTTTATCGCCAGACTGAGGGCCTGAAGGAATAGAGGAAGTGAATGGACACCAATGTATCCAAATATCTCATTTTGCCTAAAAGCAAGTGCCGGCAGATAAATGCCCATAAAGGGATTTCTTTCTTAAGCCCCATGGATTTTTTTTTTTTTTTTTTTTTTTTTTTTTTTTTTTTTTTTTTTTTTTTTTTTTTTTTTGCAACTTTTTGTGTGAGTTCGAAATGAAAACCATTCATCCAGTGCCCCAAAGAAGGGCCTTATTGAATGGAATAACAGTGTAATGTACCATTGAAGGCAGGATTGAAAGTGATTATCTTGTTAACTCTTGACAGTTACCGCCAGCTTGAAATAGAACTGGCAGGCTTGATTTGCAAATGAATTAGAGCTTTTTCATTTGGTGCCAGGATCATCTTTTTATATTCTGATATGACAGATGCTATGTTCCGTGCTTTTGTTTCTCTTCGCTCCTCTACTTGCAAATAAAAAACAAAAGATTATGAGAGTAATTTTATTTGCATCTTTTCTCTGGGAGTTTATTCTTTGTCTGGAAGTTTTTAATCTTATATTTTTCCCGACAATTTGTTTAAGAACAGCATTGTTCCCTCAGAATAACGTTTCATTAGGTTAAGTACAGTAGTAATTGGGTGAATGAGGGGGATTTGGAAGCTTTCGGAAAATGGAAAATTGATTGTGCTCAAATTGTTTCAGTGCTTAGAACATTTAAATTTCCTCCCTGATTTACAGTTGGATTTAATATTCCCCACTCGTGGAGCAGAGGGGAAGCTCCTGTTCCCAATATTGCCCGTGCTGATGGAGTCCATGTTCCATGGATGGCCGTGTTTGTATTCCGCAGCCGTCCCGCCCAGATGGGAGGTGTTGGGACCATAATTACTGCGCTCTCTCTGTGTTCCTCATTAACCTGCAGCRCTCTCGGCGAGTCCGGGGAGTTTTTGCAGCCCCATCGCTGGAACTGGCTGGGTTTTGGTGAATATTCATCCTGGTGTTGTGGGTATTCTCACCTCCAGGCTTTCCTCGCTCGAGACTCCTCAGCGGCGCTTCCACTGCACCCACGTCCGGTGTGGAAACGTTTCCTTCCACTGTCACCTCCAGGATGTGCCTTAATTGAATATCCATGAAATTGTGTCACAGACAGGTGAAGCAGGCCAGACTTGTGTSGTTTGTTTAGGGCTGGGTGACAGTGGTGACATTCCAGAGTCCCACATTTCATTGGCTGCGTTCATTGGGAGTGCGAAC